CGGGGTCGTGGTCTCGTGGAACCAAAGAATGGAGACACGGACCAGAGAGGTCAAGTTGCAGAAAAGGAGTTTATCAGAAGTAAAAACACATTTCAAAGAAGCAGAAGCGGGCCTGAGCGGTAGAGAATGGCTCAAGGGCCATTATCAGAGAAGAAAGTACACTCCTGAGAGTTTGGAGCGGGCCAAGAAAAGGAAGCTCAAAAGGCCCAAATATGTCTTTTAAATGCGTGCCCTGCAACAGTTTTTACATTCCTTAAGGGTAAGACTAATTCAATTTCTGATTATGATTAATTATATAAACTAAACAGACTGAGAAGAACTAAATATGCTCACTTATCTATGAAAAATAAATGCCTTTAATATTATTTTTGCAAAAGGTACTGTGAAAAACGTATGTTATTGAATCTTACTGACAATTGATATGTGACGTAATTAGGAAATCCACTGTAAAAATGGCACTGTGAATCTTTTTAGCTTTTAGTTTTTATAAATTGCTAGGTTTGCTCAGAGTCCTCAAAACCATTCAAGCTTTAAAATGTGAAAATAAAATGATACAGTGGAGTTGCTTGTAAAGGGGGTCATCAAAGGAATAAGATGAGTGGGTGTGAAGAAGACAGCACTCTAGTTTTTGGTCCCAGTGCATTGATAATTTCTATCCGAGAACTGACTGGGCCAAGCGATGCACAGGTCAGGCAACCTAACAAGGTGTGAGATAGGAATCCTGGGGACAAGCAGCATCTGAGGCCAAATATATGCAGCAGCCGTGGACTAGGATGTGAGCTGCACGAGGGCAAGTCAACATCTTTTAATCTTCAGGGGACTGTCTCCCATAACTGCTTCCAGAATCTAGTCAGTAGTAAACAAATGTTTGTTGATTGATTATATGAATAAGTGAGTGGATAAATGGACAAATGAATGGACAGATGGGGGGTGGATGGATGGATGGAGTAAATGAACGAGTGTGTGAGGCCACCAAAGGAGCTGTGATGATGGTGGCTCCATAGACAGAATGGCACACAGTGTGTGATCCCGTCATCCTCACGCACGCTGCATTTGTCCGCAGATCACACACACGCACGCACGCACGCACGCACGCACGCTGCATTTTGTTCAGTTCCTTTCAAAGCAACTCTGAGAAGCTGAGTCACATTCCCACGGATTGAGCCCATAGGAAAGGTTCAAGAGACCCAAGATGTTTTGTCCAGACAATGACATGCTTGAAAAGCAATCATGTAGAAGACAAAGAGAATCAAATTCCACTTGTCCCCAGAAGGAGAAACAAGAACCCAGGAGTCAGGTTGCAGTTGGTCCAGTCTCAGAAAGGACCTCACAACAGCTGGAGGGTCTGGAAAGGGAGGGGGCTTCCTGGGCGACAGCGGGCCGACCGTCGGGAAGGCTTGGGAGCAGGAGCGTAGGGAGGTGTAGAGCAGCTGTTCTCAAAGTGTGTCCGTGACCGCTGGGTCCCCAAGACCCCCTCGGGATCTAAACGTCAAACTCTTTTCCTGTGACTACTGAGACGCTATGTGGCTGCCGTGTTTACTGACGTTTGTAGCAAAACGGTGATGGGGGAGGGGCTGCTGGGTCCACAGCGGGAAGCAAGGCAGACGCCGGTTCGGAGTCATCGTCCTCACCGTCAGGCACCTGTCTTTAAATCGTTTCACTCAACAGTGTCCTTGAGGACGCAGTGAAAGATAATTAATTTTATTAGGACTTGGCTCTTGAATACATAGCTTTCTAGTATTCTGTGTGACGAAATCGGGAGCGCACAGAAGTGTGCCGGCCGGCCCGAGGAGGCGCCTGGGAGGTTGTTCAGTTCCAAGCGGAACTAGCCACTTTTTACAAAATGTCACCTTCGGGGGCAGGGGGGTACTGACAAACTCTGGCTATTCAGCGTTGAGTTTTGGGGGACATATTTTCTCAAAAATGAACCAAATAAGCCTGAAGGAAAACAACTGAGAGTATTGGTTGCCAACAGTAGAATTCGAGATTTCTAGTGAAAATTAGAATTAGGGAAGCCTCGTGGTCACCTCTCTGGGCTTCCCTTACTTAGACGTCTGGTGAGAAGGCTGGCGCAGTTGCTAATGAATGTGATTTTTGATATCAGGAAATGTGGCTACATTGGGAAGATCCACATAACTCAGTGAACCGTTATTTTGCAAATGACCCATGCCCGGTGTTACAGAATTATGCAGAATTTCGGCCAAAGGATTTTTTCCACGGGCCTGGCAGACCGATGGATTTCCATGTAACAGAGAAGCAAAAGTTTGTGGATAGTTTCAGAGTCCACATCACAGCCAGTCTTTAGGAAGCAACCTCTTGTCGACAAGTGTGGTGTAGAATCAGGGCGGAATATTCCGTTATCTAAAAGGCTGGTAAAATAGTCCCCTCTTTCCTGATTATGCATCCACGTGAGTCCATATTTTCTCCCTGTGCTTCAGCCAAAACAACATATTGCAACATATGTAGCTGTGAGCAGCCAGCTACTTCCCATTAAGCCAAACCTAAAGAGATTTAAGAGATACAGGATAGTAACACCATTCTCCCTATTTTTTTTTGTTTTGTTTTAGGGACTATATTATCAATTACAAGTTATATTTATGTTAACATATAATGGGTTTATTACTGTAATTTTTAAATGAATAAAAATGCATATTTTAGAAATTGCTCAGTTTTAATATCGAATACAGGAAGTACCAATAGCTATAACGCTTAAATAAAAGCTCTTTGGGATACTGAAAAATTATTAAGAGTGTAAAGGGTTCTTAAGGCCAAAAGTTGGAGAAGCACTGTTGTAGAGTCATTTTAAACAAGCCCGTCTCCTCTGGCTGTTGGAGTCTATACTTCTGTGGATTAATGGAACTTGGTCATCTTTTCTGTATGTGAAATAAACATAACACTTGTATCAAAGCCAGTTTCTTTTAGAAATATTAACTATATACCCCTTCTGAAATTCTTCAAAATTAAATTTGAAAGCCTGCTTTTTAAAATATAGAAAATATATGGTTACGGGGGGGGGGGGAAGAAATTTTACTATTTGGAACCCATAAAGTATAGGGCCTTAGAAAAACCTAAATCGTGCATGTGGATTTCATGCACTATTACTAAATTTTTAATTCTAACAATTCCATCCTTCCGTTTAGTTTCAAAATCCTGTATTTATCGTCAGTTTTAAACAGGAAGAAATGATTGTGCGTCTGTCTTCACTCTTAGCTTAAGCACAGAGTGTCTCAATAATTTAAAGGGGAAACAAAGAGGAATCATGCAGCCTGTTTTAAAGGGAGGTGTGTCTGTCTCGGAGCCCAATCACCTGGAGAAAGCAACCTGCCCCTGAGCATCAGGGGGTCCTCCTGCTCCTTAGAGATGTTGTGTCCGGGCTGCAGTTGGCAGGGAGCCCCATCTTAATCACCATCACTCATTTAAATGAGCATGAGCAGAGCCAGCTAAGGGGAAACATAACAAAAAGGGCTGCGATCATTTCTATTTAATTTGCCTGTTTTTCCTCCTCAGGAACTTAACGGGCGCCTTTCCCGACTACCCTGATGTCGAAGAAGGGGGTTCAGCTATTATTTTTTCTAACAAGACCCCACAACAGGTACGCGTACGCTTGAGAAACAAAAAGCAGATATATCATACTCACACCGCCGTAAACTTGAAAGTTAATGAGTTCACATGTTATTAGGTTTGGGTTGTTTTCCTACAAATGTTTCCAGAAAAATACTTTTGACGTTCGACGATGAGTGTTCGTAAATGTCACTGCACTTTGACATGTATTTCATAACGAATCGATCCTCTCTCCTGCCTTAACCTTGCACAGGGTATGTCAGCACGGGGTGCTCATCTTCTTAGTAAACTCTGAGCAGTTCGACGGCAGGAGCCCTTTGCGTTCTGGTCCCTGCCGTCCTCCCGCTCGGCTCCCTCCGCCTTTGCCCTGTCATCGCCCGTTAACTCCAGCAGTCCGCTCGCCGTCCTCACGGCCGTGCTGCTGCACCCGTGGTGCCCTTGAGCATGGCCTGCTCTTCTCTCTTGCCGGGGTGCCCTCCACCCTTCTTCCTTTGCTTAATTCCTGCTATTCCATCAAGGCTCAGCTCTTCGCCAGATTATGTTCTACCATTTGATCAGCTCTGCAGATGCTCCTGTGTCAGCTGATGAAATTGACTTCAAAAGCTAGCTCTAGAAATGCCTTCATAAACCAGAAATAGGAAAACTTTTCTTAACCTCAGAGTGTTTATCATAGAAACCAAGGGTAGTTTTGCATGACTCTCAGCAGTGAAGCATTAGAGGCCTTGCCCTCAAAAGTGAAACTCAAGAAAAGAACACTTGCTATCAAAGCTATTATTACTATTTCTCTGCAAGTTCTAACAAATGCAATAAGATAAGAAAAAGAAAAGCAGTGATATATATTTTAAAAGTGATAATTTTACCAGTTTTCAGATTATGTGATTACCTTTCTATAATACACAATAGAATTAACAAGCAATTATATTGACATAGTATATAGAATTGTATAGAAGTATATTGACAAAAGTGTACTGAAGAATGAAAGAAAACTTGAACGAATAGACTGGTGGATTGGTTCCTGGATAGAAAAACCCAATAAAGTACAAATACATATTATCTTCCCATTATTCTCTGCAGCCAGGGCAATTTTAATCAAATCTAAAAAATTTTACTGATAAAATTTTTCTCCAGTTTATATGGAAAAAGGAATGCATGAAGATAAAAGTTTTTGAAAAAGAACTATAATCATGGGGAACTTGCCCTTCTTGATGTAAATCAGATTATAAAGGTAAAGTAATTGAAGCACTGTGGTATTGGGGAAAGAATAGACTGATAACAGCAGCTACAGAAATAGCATGTCACCTGTTTACTCATAGCATTTACTAGACAAATATTCTGTACCAAGTCCTCTGCAAAGCACTTTATGTAAATTAACTCATTCAAAACTCCCAGCTTATAAAGATCAAGCAATTTGGCCAAAGTCAGTTAATACACTGTGGAGCTGATATTCAAATCCAAGTATTCTTACTTCAGAATAGTATGCTCAGAAATTGATTCACGTACAAATTGGAATTCAATAATATAATGATGACATCACAAATAAGGGGGGAAGGATGGACAATTCAATAAATAATATTGGGACAGCTGACTCACCATTTGCAAAATTAAGTAGATCTTTACTTTATACAAAATAAATTTTAGGTGCATTAAATATTTAGATGTAAAGTATTAAACTACAAATTGCTAGAAGAAAATTGTAAAGGTAATTGTTTGAATATTTAATAATAGTGCACAGTAATTTTATAAGTATATAACCATAGGCAGAAATCAAAAGGAGAATAGGGTGATATATATATATTTGACTACATAAAATACAAATGGCAAAAAGAATATTATAAATTAATATGATCAATATTAATTAAATATTTATAATAAAATATTATAAATTATAAATTAAACTAAAGTGATATGATATACTGGAGAAAATATTTGCAACATCTATGGTAGTAGGGATCTTTTATGTCTAAAGAGTTCTTAGAAAATAAGAAGACAAATCTGAATACCTCAGCAGAAAACAAGGCAAAGAATACAAACAGAAACTTAATAAAAGAAATTTTACAACTCACAAAGAAATTTAAATATAAAATAATGTTTAGTGTATCTGTTTTCATCTATAGGAGTAGTAAAAAATTTAAATCATGATAATAACTGGAGTTGGCTGGCATGTGAAATAAACCACTTGCATACATTGATGATGGATATGTAAATTAACATGACATTTTTGAGGGACATAGGACCAGTAAATATCCAAATTTTTAATATGAATTAAACTTTGACCTATAAATGCTATTTAAGGAAGTTATACTAAGGAAATAATGAGACAAGTTGCCATACATTGAGACCAACAAACTTTTTCCATAAAGGGCTAAATAGTAAATACCTGAGTCTGTGGAACATGCATCCTCTGTCATAGCTATTTAATTCTGCCGTTATACTGTGAAAGCAAACACAAACAATATGTAAATGAATGGGCATGACTGTTTCAATAAAACTTTATTTATAAACATAGGCATAGGGTCTGCTTTTACCCATAGACGACTGAAAAAGCTGCCCATGTGTATCGATAATTAATCTATATCGATAGCTGTGCACAGACTGAGTTCTATTTGGGGGTTCGATACGCAAGACACACCACCACAAGCTGCTTGGGGTAGATAGATAAGAGGTTTATTGTTAACAGGGAAAGAGCTAAGGGAAATAGAAAGTAAATAGTCGCAAAGGAAATAGAAAAATAGTTACATCATACCACCAGGGCCCCTTTTTCCAATTCAGCACCGGAATCTGAGCATCACGGGCAGTTCAGCACCGGAAT